TGATGATCATGCCGATACGACAAACATGTTTCGCCCATCGTGGAGACGGCTGCTTACCTTGCACGAACTTCTGTCTGACTGCGAACAACCTAGTGTCGGCGGAACCAATCCAGAAGGGTGGCCTCAGCCCTCTCAGAGCCATATCGACACCAGCAAGACTGGAAGCCGCAGCCTCAGGGTCCCCAGGGGCGTAAATGAAACTTCATAAATTGGTTTGATAGGGACATCAATCGGATAATGGAACTTAAGTTTCGAATGCGAGTTTCTTCCATGCAACACACGGCAAGCATCGCTCGTCGTGGCAACCTATCTGATGGCACACATGGCCCAACCAAAGTAATCTATGGAGGTCGACCACATTTACCTAAAACTCTGCGTCTGACCTCAACATTGCACGTTCGGTTGCCCCTCCAGATTCGTGCGATGCTGCGTAGACAGCGGTGTTCAAACACCAACAATCTATGTTTATCCTGTTTTCTTAATGGTCAAGTTTCTGCGCCATATAGCAGAACTGCGGTAGCATACACTCGACCTTTAACAGACAGCCGTATGTTGCGACGGCGCCACAGATGTCTCAAGTTGACAAATGCCAATCGAGCCTTCTGTATGCGAGCTGACACATCATCCGGAGTGCGTCCGCCGAGTGAGATGTAGCTGCCCAAGTAACAAAACTTATCCACTTGCTCTATTACTTCCCCAGTTAGGATGAAGCTGGGTGTAGGACCAACCCAGTCTTGAAGTAACATTTTACACTTCGAAGGTGCAAAACGCATACCGAACTTGGTTACACTAGCACTCAAACCAACCAGAAACGCTTATAACTTACCTCGATCTTAGTAACACAATGTCGCCAGCATACTCTAGATCAGACAGCCTGCCACCTGGGACAAGAGTGAACAGCGGCAGAATTTCCGCTTGAGGCACTATTATTAGTGCGATTGTTTGAAGGACCCGAGATAGATGGAGGAGTTTTGGGAGGGGGGACAGATGTGAAATGGGGGAGGCTGAGAAAAGGTGAGGGTGTGTACGGTGTAAAATGTTTTTTTTGCTTGATTAAGAAGTTTCAGAGTATAGAGTCATAAGATCGAGAGTTCATGGCTGTGTGCGTTTCAGACAAGACAGAAAACAAAACTCTGCATTCACAAATTTGAATAAAGGAATCAAGAGTACTAGTTTGCACACTACATAACCATTCCTTATACTACATGATCATTGTAGCTAGTGTAATGGCATACATAGACAGGACAATGGACTACAAACAAAAGTCACATGCGTTCACAGTCAAAGGAAAACGGGTTTAGAGTACGTTAGTTAACAAGGAAGAACTAGTCACCCTTGCTGCTGCAGTTGCATTTTAGAAAGGTGTTTATGGGGAGCTTGTGCATCTTTGAGCGATTCTGGATTAGTGGTGTGCCAAACTGAAAATGCGCTTTGAAGCTAACGCAGTATTTTACTTCACCGAAATGTAGCATCTGATTTTTCAGCTTTTCCGATAATTTCAACATTGTTCATCACTTCCCCAAGTCATTTAGTTTATTTACAACGGTTGGTTACTTGAGGAGGATAAGCCAGTTTCATGAATGATCACGAGGTTTCAAGAAAATTAGGTACAACGTCAAACTGGAATATACTTATTCACCGTATTAGTTCTGTCGATGTAGACAATGGACTATCTACATTTGCATTGGTTTATAGAATGGAACTGGACATGTGGAGAGAGTGGGTGGGGGTAATGGTGGTTCTTTTATGGGGACCGTTGAGATCTGGATGAAAAACAATTCCCGGTTCAGTCGTAGGGTTAAACGCTGCTCAACGATCCAGATAATGTCGTTATCTCTGAATAGCAGATGAAGAAAACCTCGGACTTTTGGTACACCAGATGGCTTTGCGTCGTCTGTTATTAACTGAGTGCTTCCTTTCAATTAACGTTTCTTATGGAAAATATATGTATATGCATATATATAAGTACAAACAGTTTACAGGAAAGGAAAATCAGGCGGCGGCGGTAAGATTCACACAAACGTCCTCCTCCGAAGCGATAAGTTGGTGATTTTGATCACTTAACCACCGCCGCCTTCGAGATGAATGCACGCGGATATCTGTTTTTTGTTGTTGTGATGTTATAACTACAAATTCAGTCCTTGAAAAGAAAAGACCATATTGCAATACTGCACGATTTATGTCCAGGACGATTTCGCTGCATCTCAACATGGTGCATACTGCAGAAAATACAATGTTTATATAGGGTTTTAGCATAGCAACAGAGTGAGGCAAAATACATTAAAAAATTCAAATTGTCTACAAGTCACAAGTCGCAAGATTGCTAAGGTTTGCTGAAGCAATTGCGATTAATCGATGGAAGCCCCCCTGTGCCAGCAAAAAGAACTGTATGTTAGTCTCTCCCTACCCTGGTGATATGGTCCTTTTACCCCTCCCTCTTTTATGTTTTGTCTGTTTTTTTTAATGTATTTTGCCTCACTCTGTTGCTATGCTAAAACCCTATATAAACATTATATTTTCTGCAGTATGCACCATGTTGAGATGCAGCGAAATCGTCCTGGACATAAATCGTGCAGTATTGCAATATGGTCTTTTCTTTTCAAATTAATCTCGGGAAAGGCTTGTTTCAGTTTTCTCAAATTCAGTCCTTGTCCAGCGCATCCGCCAAACATATTTTTTTATTGTCCTGGGAAAAAGCGGACAACAAAGGATCTTATAAACACTTGGGGAAAACTCAATGTTGTAAGGAACAAGTAGGTTGAGATAGGCATTACCGATTATTGACAGTGGCGTGGTAACGAGTCATTACAACACAACACAATCATCGCTCTCAACGCACTTAACGTGTTTTGATTCGAAACAATATTATTCCATGATTTGCATGTGGTCGCGATACTGCTAGATTGTACAGGATAAGGTTAGTGACTAGCCAAAGTATGACCCACAAGGTAGTTCGAAGCTGGTGTCCAATTCATCGTATCCTACACCGTTTGGATGGGACAAGGGGCCCGGTACACGTGGATGACCCATCGAGCCTGCCCCCACTGCCACAGCCAAAAAGGTTAGTGTGGATGCGGTTCGTACGCATCTTCACGGTTAGTTTGGAATCAGGGTTGTTAGCCAACTCCCTCAGGGGAACTGTCAGTGGTTTACCGAACCGGCTATAGCCCGAGATGTTGGCTTTTCATTCTCACTTTGGTGGGAAAACACTCATGGGAAGGTAGTGAATAGGGCCTCCTCAGCTGAGGGTGTTTGAGACGCTTCGTTATACAGGAGCATTTTGCGAGATGCAAGGGAGGTCTGACCGGCGAAAACCCAAGAGACCTGCCACGCAATGCCTCTGGGTTTTGAATCAGTGTGTTTGTCACTGGTGCGTTGATTCGGTCCACTGTTCGGGATTAGACTGGAACCTTATTTCACTGAAATTCTCCATTTTCACTTCGACTCTACTTCAACTTTCCTGTCTTTCTCCCACTGTTCATCTAAACGGGCAGTGGAAGAAATCAACCAAAACCGGCGTAAGAAAGTGCATGGTTAATGGTTTTACAGACTGAACTGAACCTATCCGGGATTGGCCCTTAATATCATGCGACCAATGTGACATAGGGAACGTGGACGAGACAGCACCTTATTGGCTGAGGGCTGCCCAGCCTGAGCAAGCAGTGGCTGTTCAATGTGCGAAGATTCGTCCCACCGTCAGGAGCAATAACCAGATACCCTGGTCCTACGTTTTTTGACCGATAAAATGCTCCTCGTGTACAGTCGCTGAAGTGACCTTTCTATGAGCGAAAGTGGATAGTCAGAGGGATTCATATGCCCAATCAGATGGCCCTGTGGGACAGAGCTTTCCCTGGCTTCTACTGATTGACTTTTCACGCATGCTGTGAAGTCATGTGTAGCTTACAGGGTCACGGAGGCACGCAAACCCTTACACCAAGTCAAGGTGTAGTCTCGTAACGAACGGAAGCAATGCGACTTCTGGACAATATAGAGTAGCACCTGTTGTAAGCCATCGTACAAATAAACCGTTATTTTTTCTGAAAACAGGAATGTATCGGAATGTGTTCGTCATATTTGGGCACTGAAACGCTCGAACAGGCCCATAAAAGGCGACAAAAACACAATGTAAGGTCCGCCCGTGTTAGCATTAAAGGAGACAAAGTACCCAGCTTAGAAGATTGAAATTCTCAGCATGACAAATACGGTCAAAACCCTTAAAGGCATTTGACGCGATACTCCAACGACGGGAAACCAGTACATCAATAGGATTACCTCGTCCGTTCTTTGGTTACTCACTGCCGATCGAGTAGCGAGGTTGAGTGAGTGGACAAATATGGATGTGATTACGTAGTCCTATGCGCGTGAATNGAACTGGAAGCTGCCACGAAATCGCAGGTTAAACAGGAAGGACCGCCTTAGTACAGTGATACAAAAGAAAATGTAAGTAAGCACAAACCCGAAATTTTAACAAGCCCCCTAGAATTAAATAAACGACCAAGTTACCTTTTTCTTCGGTGGATTGAACTCATCGTTGTAGATTCTTCCACTAGGCAGGTGAACCCATCGGCACTTTATTCGATTTATGATTTCATCAAAAGGTACATCCAAGTTAAGGACACATGTAACGGACAATTCTTTATCCAGTGACTTTGCTTGTTCTAATGTCCGAGGAAATCCATCTAATAAGAGATTGGAGCTTTTGAACTTTGCACATTCAGCCAACATCATAGAAGTAACAACAGAATCCGGTACCAATTGGCCTTTGGTCATGTATTCTGAGGCCTTAACACCGATAGCTGTGAGGGATAAATATAAATCGAATGGAACGTACAGGTTTTCCCAGAGACATGCGCCCTAAGAATATCACCCGAACTGAGATGCTCTATTGGAAAATCTTTCTTGATTCGGTTGGAAATCGTTCCTTTTCCGGATCCAGGGGGACCAAGAATGATAGCTTTAACGTAAGACAACGAAGCCCTGGTTACGCGCATAACTAGGGGAGCGATAACCTTAATAACACGAGGGTCTGACCTTGAAGTTCAATTCCGTGCCCAATCGGATCAGGTCAGGTCCAATGTCCAATGTCCAATGTCCAGTTTACAGGCGGAGAAAGCTCGTTG